TTTGCAGGTGGGATAGGTACTTGCTTTAATCGGAAAAGATCTGTAGAAGTGAATGGAATCATCACATTGTCATTTGTTCAACCCCGGCTTTTGCAGGTCCTATGCAACCCATTTGATGGGCGACGCACGACGCACGACGGACGACGCACGACGGAAAATGGCATGTTTGGAACTGGTAAATGGCAGCACTGGGACACAACAAAAAGCAAAATGTGACGGACGACGGGCGACGGCAGATATGGAATTCCACACCAAGTCCCAGTCCTTCAATATGTGATCCAGTGTATAAACATCTGATGCGAGATGGCAGATATAGAGCACCATAGTACAAGCTAGCTCTGCAACACGACAGACCGGGGTAAATGGACATTTTCGTTATAAATATTGATCGAGCATTGATGCACACGAAGATGCAAACAACACAAGGCAGCAGTTAATGAACGTGCATACAGCAGTTTAATTACAACAACTGCACAACTAGAACGAGCTATAGTAACATTTTTGTAAATGAGAACCGTTCATTAGAGCCCAGAGGCCTACTTGCATTTTTTACTACGGTATATTTCTTCGAAGAATAATATGTAGGCCTATATACTAAGTATATTAATAATAATATGTAACAGGAGACGAAACTGTTGTCATTCCTCAGTTGTCTACTTACAGGCTTAAAGGGCAGAGGCAACAATTTCAAAACTTTGAAATAAACCTCCAAAATGCACCTTTTTGTCACAGATAACTTCATTTTCAAGATTTCTTTCATTATTTCAAAGGGTATGATATCGATGTTACCGCCTTTTTGGTTTTGTATGCCAACGAGATTTCTGTATTCATCAGCAAAGGTGTAATGTCATCTTAGGAAGAAGGCTCAGTGTTACAACTTTCCCATATTTGGATTCTCCTGGACCCAAGGTTTTTCTTCTTGCTGATTCATTATTGTTTATGTGCATAAAAAAATAAGAAAGCACCGGTCCCTCTCAGAAATGTTTTCAGTTAGTTAATTTTGAGTTCACAATTTGGAGACATACATGTAGGGAACAGTCCACTAATTCAAGCCCCATTGAAAACAGTGTAAAATCAGCACTGTTCAGGGCCCAATAACATGCAAGCCTTGCAACATCCTTGAAATTTCCAAAATGAAATTCTTGTCTGGTCACTGATCTTTCAATTTCTTTTCATTTTTTTGTGGGTTAACCAATTACATTTTTAATTATTCCCACAAAATAAAATCGCCCCCAAAAAGGGAATTTTCCGAAGTCTGATTG